GGACTGTGGGAAGCCTGTGAGAGGGGAGGCCAAGACCAGAAGACCCTGGTGATCCCATGGGGCCAAATGTCCCACAAGAAACCAGGGACACTGGGGTTGCAGCCAAAGAGGGAGAGGCCCGGCTCCCTGGCTGGGAACTTTCCTGAAGCCGAAAGCTGGCAGCCACAGGAAATCGTCAGCTCTAGGGCTGGGCTGGAGTAAACAGGCCCTGTTCCCACAAGGGCACAAAGCACTCACTGTCCAGGAACAGTCATTCCAGGGTGGAGGGAACATTCTCGCTTCAGTACCACAGAGAACATGCTGGGGCCCGCCCAGGCCTCCCCCCACCCCCCGCATTCCAGGCCTGGCATGGGGCACCAGCACCCTTCCTTTCCTCCGATCCTTAGTAGCTCTTCCCTGAGGGCCAGGACTATGGGGAAGGCTTCTGCCAGGAGAGCTCAAGCAAAGCGGGGCGTGCTGTTCCAGGGTCAGGGTCTGGGAGGCGTGGGTATATTTAGCGTCCGGCTCACAGGGCACCCTGGGAGACAAACAGCCATGTTCTCCGCGGGGGTGGGCGGCTGCTCTGGGTAAACAAACAGGCCTGAGGCAGCGCAGCACAGGCCTGGAGAAGCAGAGATAAGCACACGGGCTTCAGGCTTCAGCTCCCACTGGATTCAGCCAGGCCTGCCCTGGCAGGAGGGGAGGGGGCCGGAGGGTGGGAGGTGGAGAGCATGCTCCTGTCACACAGGTTCCCAGCAAAGCCAGGTCCCAGGGCCTGGGCTAGAACCAAGTGAGACAGTTTCTCTGTCGCTGTGACAGCTGCCACGGGGACCCACATGGATGTGGGTGTTTTCAGGGCTTCCGGGGGAGATGGCTGATGACCACCAACGCAGAGGTGTCGCCCCAGCCGGGAGAGCCCACCTTCCCACTCCACAGGTTCACACAGCTGGAAGGTAGCACAGCCTCCGACCATGGAGGCCACAACTAGCTGTGCATGGGGCGGCTGGCCCCCAGCACTCCAGGCATCTGCCAACACAGTGTCTCTAACTGGCCACCCCCACCCTGTCTCCCCTCCTCACCCCCACTCAGCCTACAAGACCGCACTGTGGGGCCCCTCCCCCCATCTATCCATCCACCCCTTCCCCATGAGTGGCTGCATCTTTTGTGCCCCCAGGGTCCTGGACTTTCCTTCAGACCATATTTATGGAACATCTACAAAGCGCCAAGCTACGCCCTGCAGATACTGCAGCGAACAAGACCCACAAGGCCCTGCTTTCCCAAACAGCGCTAGTCCATGCATTCTCCACAGGGGTGCCATCATCTCCACACACTCACTGCCATCGTGTCCTTGCCAGTTCACGGTGACCCTACAGGACAGGGCAGCACAGCCCCTGTGGGTCTCCAAGACCGAAACTCGACACGGGAATAGAAAAGCCTATTAGCAGCCCACTTATAACCCACCATGCCACCCAGGGACCCTTCTGAGACCATCTCCAAGGAGGCAAAAAGTATTGCTTTGAGGATATGGTAGCGGTTGGTGCACCTGTAACAAATACACAGTTCAGTGTATCTCAGAGGGGCTGGAGACAGATGTGGAGGTGGCACAGATGAAGGGCAGGCCTGCTTGAGGACGGCCAGTATGCGCTAAGTAAGGTCAGAGTGATGAGGATCACAAACCTTAGTTAAGAGCATGCATGCCCAGCAGAGGGGGCACGTGCAAAGGCCCCTGGGGCCAGGAGAGGCAGGGCGTCTCTGTTAAAGCCCCCTGCCTGCCTGCCAGTCTCTCCATCAGCCTGGGGGCTCAGAGCAGGCAGGGACCACAGCTGAGGCCCGGTCTGAAGCCTGAAGCCTGTCCAAGCAGGCAGAGACTGACTTCAGCTAGCTCCGCCCAGAGGCAGAGATTCAAAGGATGGAGAAGTCCGGGATATGTTAAAGTTTGCAGGACTGTGCCCTGTGAGGAGGCCCACATGCCAGCTGACCACCACACCAGCAGGCTCCCAATGCACCCAGCCCTTGCTTGAGTCTATCCCGTGCTCCACTTCACAGCCTGCTCTATATGCACACTCCGCTTCGTGCTCAAGGTCTCTTCCTAGCAGAGGGCTGAGAGCAGTTACTTCATCTCATCTGTCAACGAAGAACCTCCTCCCTGCTGCTATTCTGCTCGCTGACCAACAGTGGGCCAGCCACCGAGCTGAGGCTACATCCCTGTGACCTGCACAATTACAATCTCATGCAAGTGGTCTGTTTTTGTCCTGTGTCCGTCATGGGATGGCGAGTGTCTTTGTCATCTCTGTGTTCCACAATCATCGCCACCCTATGAACAGCGAACAGCTCCTCAGGGTTTCCAAGACTTTGAAACTATGTGGTGACAATAGCTGCCCCCTGTGGAGCGGCTGGTGGGTTTGAACTACTAAACCCGTGGTTAGCAGATCAACATTGAACCCATGCCCCCACCAGGACTACTATAAGCCCCAAGTGACCCGATGGCAGTGGGTACTTTGGAGTACTTAAGAACCTTGCCCTGTGCCTGGGACACAGCAGGCATAAACTGAATGGAAGAGACAGTGAATGTTGTTTAGTTCTAGCATCTAGCATGTAAAATTGTAGTCCCATTTTACAGATGTGAAAACGGAGGCCCCCAGGTTCCCCAAAGGTCGGCTGTCTAAGAAATGCAGGGGCTGGGGTCTTGCCAGCTCTGCCACACAACACCTGGGGCTCACACTGCCTGGGGACTCAGTCGGCAAGGCACTGTCTTGGGCCCTTTGCATGGATATGCTCATCGCCGGCTCCCACCTGCGGAGGTGGGGATCCCTGCTAGCCCATCCTGCAGAGGGTGTGCGTGCATGCTAAGGACAGGCCTGGTGCACGCACAGCTCTGGCACAAGGAGGTAGGTCATCTTGCTCACATCAGGGAAACTGTGGCTCCAACCCCGGGACCTGC